TTCTGTTGTGAACAGTACAAATGTCAGTGTAGTGACAGTGTGACTACTGTGGCTACGACATCACTGTGGTATCTAAGCCAAAGAAAGTCTTCTGGGTTCTTTCTCCTCATCCTTCTCCTCAAAATTATATTTGAAGTTAAGATCTCATGACCTTCAAGGTCCCTACTTTTTCATCCAGGAACTCTTTAATGTCCCGGTTTATTAATGGCTCACAAGTTCCATTCACAAGAACATTGCACAAGGAAAAAAGAATCAAATTAGTCCACCAATTTCTTTCCATTGACTCTTTTGATTCTTCTTACTTCACCACCCAAGCATTGTCCCAGCATGAAGCTGATCACACGAACTAGGCAGCCACTAATCTTGTCTCAGGCTCAGCTAAGTTTCTTTATCAATGTAGCAATACTGAATCAGACTTGAATGACACCTAATTGCAGTACACAGCATGACTGCAAAAGGCCTCAGCCACTAAGAGCAAAAAATTGCCTCTACTGAGGCCAAAGATTTTTGCAACTCCTTTTAGGAGTCCCAGGGTTAAGAGCATTATGGTTTTCATAGTATTCTTAATTTTGATCTGCAGCACAGACTTTTTCAGCCACTGACATTTCAGATCAGGCTATGTAATAACCATTCTCCAGATAGTTACATTTACTCCTAAATGGTCCTGAATTCTAACAAACTTGTAGGAGTGAGAGGGCATAAAGCTCTTGTCCTCAGCTAAACCCTTAACTCTGTGTTTCAGATTTCAACTAGTTCAAGAGAGTATTTGTCAGTATTACTATTTCTTTTAGTCATGTGCTCAATTCCAGTACAGAAGTTTCTGTATGATTCACTGGCACTGAAGGAATGGCACTTACAGATACAATAAGAAAAGGGTAAGATGTGATGTCAAAAATATACTTAAAATTTTACATAACATAGGCTCACATTTTCACATGCATCTTGATAAACAGGAAGCCCACTGTTGTTTTCTTGTGAGCTTTATGTGCTTTAGAACCCTGAAGCCTGAACTGTGTGGAAGGCAGTTTTAAAAATGGAAATTCAGACAACTCTTAATAAAAAGAACAGATTTCTATTGTTGTGGGTTAACCCCAAAACTAGGACACTTATAAAATGGTCTAGGCTTCCGACTTCACACGTCTTCAGAGATTTGTACAAACAAACAATTTGGATGTCTGTGCTTCATATTTAGCTACAAGAATGTCGTAATTATGAAGAAACATTTCCAGGTGTCTCTCCTCAGTGTAGGTCTTATGTTCATAAAATGACATTTATTTGAAAAAAAAAAAGATATTAAGATAGACATTCCCCAAGATGCTTCAAAGAAACTCTAAAAACTATGTGTCTACTGAGAGCAGAAGGCATAAACCAGGGCTTTCAAGCAGGATGATTTCAGTCTCCAGAGAATATTGGACCAATACTCTACTGTATCATTGGAGATTAGAAGTGACTAAGGGCAGGTCCATTAAGTTATGGTATTCCTAATGTAAACGGAAGATAGTGAATGTGAGACACTAAATTTACCAACATCCTTTTCATCTTTTAAAATACAGAGCCAATTGTAACAGTCCACTACTAAAACAACAGATGTAATTCGTCTAGTTATATTAACTTTATTTAGCTCTTCTTAATTTTATATAATTTTATATACTTTATCTTAAAATAAAGATGTATACTTCTCAAATACAATATTCCTTGACATGGCCAGTTCATTTTTTTGCATTTTAGATCATCATATTTATACCATTTGCTTACTGACCTCTCACATCAGCTTTTACAGCAGCTTTCAAGAAGGTAACTGATTTCATGGTTCAGAGGAATGATGAACCTTCAGAACAAAGGTTTGAAGTGAGAGATAGTTGGAAAAATGTAGATAGCATAAAAATATAAATATATACATCCCTCCCATAAAAATACCATCTCTTCAGGTCAGAACAGAATAGTCATTCTTTAACACTTTGTATAGAATTTAAGAAAACATCCCTGAACCTGTCTGTTTTTCTGAGTTCATACCCAGCCATTTCCCCGCAGGCTGATTTCACACTGTTATTCCAGTGAGTGACTATGTCTTCGATGAAATGATCTGTTTCCTTGTGCTTTAGGGGTCCTCTTGGCCCTGGAGTGTAACTGTAACATGAAATATGATGACATTTTTTTCTTTTATAGTGCTCTCCATATTGGATGTATTGACAAGTAGGTATAAAATGTCTTCTATTTGCTACCTCCTCTGTCAGCTGCTGTGGACATACCCTTGACCAGAAGCTCTCCTCGCCCCATCAGATTGCTGTGCCAGTATTTTCCTTGACAGATAAATAAAATAAAATTGCAGTGCTGATGTCCCAGGTATGCTGACTTGTTACTGACCAAGAAGGGAGTGGAACAACACGGCACAGAAAATCCACTATACATTCTAACATTTAGGCTTTATCCTTTATTAGGTAGTGAGTAAGAGACATAAAAAGAATCAAGTTTGTTGTTTACAGCTGAAATTTAAGAGACTCGTGTGAACAAAAACTTGTTCCATAGAGCACTGTGACAAAAGAGGTCCAAGAAAACTGAAGGTGTCATTGCAAATTAGCTGATGTAAGTAGTTGGAATGACACTCTTTATTTCTAGCAAAACTTGTATTAACTCTGCTCTTAGTACTGTGCCTCCATACATGCCACAGGCCACATTTTGGCAAGGATCAGGCTGTTGATTTTGATGGCATCACAACATCATGGCAGGATGTACAGCAGGTGCCCATGCACCAGAAGACTGTGCATAAGAGCCTACAGGATATTTGCGGGTCTCCCGTTTTCCCATCTGCATACTTTCTCATGGGGAAAAGATATCCTGCCCAGATTTTCTCCCTTCCCAAAATGCTAGTCCTCCTCTACTCCTTTAGCATGCTCTTACTTACACAGGCTCTTACAAAAAGCTCTGGAGATAAATGGTGGCTCATGGAGCACAGCTTGAAAACCAGTGCCCTATTCAAGGAGGAATCTAAATGCAGCTGGCAATGGCACTAAAACTTCTGCAAGAAGATGAAAGGTTGAAAGCAGGCTTAAAAGATCAAGTGCAAGATTTTGCAAAAAGGAGTTGAATGTTACTATGTTATATTTATGTACCCAAATAAAATAAAACATTTTCTAAATTGAGTGCTAGGAGCAGGTTTTCAAGACTGGCTTGTTTACTGCCTCTTTACTGGGAGCTGTAGAGTAGAGAGCCCTTTTAAATGTCAGCCCCTAGTTATTTAGATGTCTAAACTTGGCTTCAGGAACTTACTCATACTCTTGTTTTGGAAGTTGGGCCAAAGCAATCCAGCTGGTAATCAGCCTAAAATCACCATCACATCTTTTTCATGGCTACATAGGCGTGAATTAAATATAAACAAAAGCCCATTTCATTTCAAGGCACAAACATTTGCAAATAAATGGAATGAAATACAAATACATAATATAGAACTTATTTTAATATTTTTAGATAAATATATGCATCTCTTTGGAATTCTTTGGACACAGACATCCATGGAACCTCTTCTTTCTCTCTCTTTATATATTTTGTATAAAATCTAAATGCGGAGAGGTTTAAAAAAATGGCAAATACCAATGTATACGGAAGGCTCACTGATGAACTGCAAGTCAAAAGTGCTGTGTATTCCCACCCTCTATCTCTCCCACCTTTCCATATTAACCACAGGCAGCATTATATAGCAAGCACGTGGTCAATATTTTTCATTACTGCCTTTTAATAAAATCTTTCAAATAATTTCCCCACCTGAAATTAAATTATGTTTTTAAATGTTATTCTGCCTAAATGTATGGTAGGCATTTCACTTAGCTACACATCAGAGTGGTTGCATGTGACTCAGCAGCGCACTCCATAACATTAATAGATACTTTTCAGCTCCCTATGGGAAAAAGCAGGCAGCAAGAATCAGATTCAAGAAGTCTATTTTTTCTCTGCTGTTTGTTACTTACCACTTAATGACCCACATGTGAAACTCAATGGTTATATAATTATTTTATATAGTAGATTTTCTGTTTATAAGTTATTTTTCTTACTCTAACATATATACAATATATCTATATATACCCCTGATAAATCTTACTTTAAAGGGACACAGTCAACCCCTTTAAGCCTCACAGTAAATATATAAGGCTTTAAGCGGTCCATACGTAATGGTCAGCTACAGAATTCAAGGGTCCCTTCAGATCCTAAAGGTTTTATTTGTTCCAAACCCACAATGTGCAGTTATCTCGTAATATGTATCTCATGTGTCACTGTTTACATTTTATAGGTATATTAAGACATTTTTATATCACATCAGTAGGAAATAAAACGAGAATAAATCTGTTTCTAAGACTAAGCCTATTGCAAAAAATGTCACCTGTATCTACAGACACTCCCACTGGTGTGATATAAAAAGAATATGTGCCATTCTTGGGATGAAATTCTGGCTACACTGCAGTCAGGAGGAACTTTATACTGATTTACATGAGGCCAGGATTTCTCTCCTGTTTTTCATTTGCTAGTTATGACTATGCGTAACCCATTTGTGTCTTACCTCTGCTCAACACTGAAGTGTCAGGCCTGTTTCATGACAAGAGTGTATTTTTTGCTGTCCACTGGCATGTCTTAAACATTGATCTACCCTGTAAGTATTACAGCTTTTGAATCAACACATACTGTACACATAGGTTCGCAATTAAATAGATGTTTGACCCAGTCTGTGTACAGCATCCAAATTATTTTGTGTCTGCCAATAGATCTTCTTTATCATTTTCTTTGCCCTAACCATAGATTATCTTCATTCCCATTCTTCTACAGGTGAGGAAAACAATTTTTTGCTCACCAGGAACAGCTCCACATTATTGTCATTAGTTTTGACTACTTACCAAAGTGACATAATTTGTTCATTTTATCTTTTGCAACTCAGTTAGAAACCTAGTGGCATAGATAGAGACACAATACTACTGTTTTACAAGACATCTATTGTATCTACTTTTGTTCAGATAAATACCCAGTAACTGCTGATTTGGCAGGAGGATTGGTAAGGGTACTACTATTCACAGTGTTTCTTTTTTTTTCCTTCTTCTTTAATCTACAGAATAAAGTATTTTATGTACATTGGAACCAGTTAATGCCCTTTAGACAAATTTGTAAGTTGTTTCATAAAGCAGGAAAGACATTGCAGGGAAATATGTGCCAAAATGCACAGTCAAAAGGCTTTATAAGTTTTATCTGTCACTACAAGTCAATGCTGGAGATCAGTTCTAAAACGATCAATGCTCAAGAGGAATGTTCTCATCTGGAGAAAATACTGCCCATTCCCCCTTTTAGAATTTGTTCAGTTCTCTATCAAAAGTCCTGGCTCTTCATTTATACTTTAAACTATAAATAAACACTGCATAGTTCAATGTTCTTGATTTTCTTTTTTTTGTTTGCTTGTTTTGATTTGAAAAATTATTGCAGTACAATTAATTCCTGTTTGGAGTTCAGTAAGGAGCAAACAGCACAGGAGTATGGGTGGTCCGTATAGGCCCAGGAGCTGGTCGTAGGAGTGCTGGAGGAAGTGCTGAAGTCTGGAAAAGGGTGGCTGCTGGGGCTGTGCGAAGACTGAAGGGGGAATTCACAGCCACAGCAGCAGCTGCTGCTGCAGCTGCTAGAGGATTTGGTAAGATTCGTGGAGCCATCGGCTTTGAAGGTTCCTTTGAAAATACTAATTTTACCTGTGGGGAAGAGAGAAAACAAACAAACAGACATAATTTGTTCATATTAGCTACACAACACAGAGCTTGACTTAAGATTATCAAGCAGGAGAGGCCTCATGGTGGCTACTGACTCTATGAGCTGCAGGCTTGTGACAGGAGATATAATCTTGCCCATTGTACAAAAGTGCACAGGATTTGGTTGAGGACAAAGAGTTTCAGTGTTCAAACCTTATAACTGACATGTATAATTTAATATGAGATTAGAAAGCAAAGCAAACCTAGAAAGGGGCTGGACAACCTGCACCAAAGTAAAGCTACATGTACCATGAAGGACTAAACTAGGAATAATTAGATATCAATTAGAAGACCTCCATCTGGACTGCTTTATGATAGAGACTAGAGTAGAATGAAAGCATATCCTCTTCCCTGGTCTGACTAAGAAGATACTTTTGTTTTAATCACTGGAGTGAAGTTCTACTTAAAATTAAGGTCTCCAGATAGTTCCTCTTTATTAGCTCCCACTTCCAATAACAAGCAAATAAACCAATCTTATCTTGCATGGGTTATGAAAATCTCTTGTTTCATGTGTTTACATGTGTGCTGCCCTATGTCATCTTGTTGTGTCTTCAACTACTCACTAAGATATTGTTCCTTCTCACAAGGACTGTGAAAACTTGGCAGATATTTTTAAATGTTGTCATGAAAAAATCTTGCTTATATCACTTAGTATGGTGTCATAGAATCAGAGAATCATAAAATTTAAGAGTTGCAATGGACCTTACAGATCATCTAGTCCCAACCCTCCCTGCCATGGGCCGGGACACCTCCTCACTAGATCAGGTTGTACAAGGGCTCATCCAGCCTGGTCTTCAACACCGCCAGGGTCAGGGCAGCTACTACATCCCTGGGCAACCTGTTCCAACGTCTCCCAACCCTTAGAGTAAAAAACCTTTTTCTAATATCTAACCTAAACTTCCCCTCCTTCAGTTTGAACCCATTACCCCTTGTCCTATCATTGCAGTTCCTAATAAAGAGTCTCTCTCCGGCTCCCTTGTAGGCCCTTCAGACACTTCAGTAGTTGCTAAAAAGTTGCTAAAAGTATCAAACCATGATATATCTGTTACTGTCACTAAGGCTTCTTCTTAAAAAACCATCATGAGTCTTGTGGCCTACCAAATACAAAAGTTTTCAAAAAGAGAAAAAGAAATAAACTCTGAAGTTTTTCCCAAACTGATTGAAAATACTCATAGTGGCCCAGTATTATTTAAGAGAATTTACATTTGGTATGCATACAAATGAACATCAGAGTAGTCTCTATAGATTTCTGCAGTTTTCAGTGGGATTTCAAGTTTCTAATGAGATACCAAGAGTCTGAATACCTTGGTTGCTCTGTTTTTATAACTCTGAGAGAAAAATAGAAACCTCATCTACTGAAACATTCCCACTGGCTCTGATGGACTTTTTGGTGAGTCTGTCCTGGCATGACCTGAGACCCTTTGCAAAGAACATAAACCTGAATATGCAGTACTGAATATACAGAATATGTACCATGCTGTGGTACATCTCAGTGTAAGTATGGACCCTTCTCACTCACAGCAAACACAGTTTTTCATCCTTGAATTGAAAGGGGTTTTCAAATAATTATTTGCACATCACTCTGATATTTTCAACTCACCAGTACCTTGGTGAGTAAATAGTCAGAAAGTAAGATCAGGAGTACTCTGGCATGAATCACCAGTGAGGACTCATCAATACACTATCACCATATTCAAAAAAGTCTGTTGGATCCTTACGAGCCAGATGGATAGAGGATTTTTACTTTTCCCAAGACCCCCTGGCAACTCTGTTGGTTTCAAGGTTCTTTAAAGCTCTGGGAGAAATATTCAGATGGAACCAAATTCTGTAATTCTCTTAACAGAGGATATAATAGATGCTAGATATAAAATTCCTCATGGTGCTTATGAAAAACAATGTTCTGATCTTTTCCTTGATCAGTGTAACACCCACTGATCCAAGCTGTCTTCTTCCCTTGCTGAGCATTTGACTTTTTCCTCCTTCCTTACATTTTTTAATAAATACCTTTTTCAGCCTTATATCGAACAGAGAAAAAAAATCTCAAAAAAATATTTCAAAAATTAATCCTGAGTACCAACTGCTAAAAGAAAACCCAGGCCAAAACAACATGGGTCTGACTCTGGTCAGAATTCCCAGTGAAAGGTGTTTTTTGTCAGAGTTATTTTATTGCAGAAATTTTGGACTATCAAATGCCTGATAACCTCTTTCTCTCCAGTGTAGTATTTTATACATACTGGACACTTGTGGCTTGAAGAAATATCAAGGAAGTCCCAGCATTACAAGGTTTCTTAAACTCTGAACTAGCACTGTGGGAATTCATAAAACTTCTATCTCTGAAGCATGCAAGACTAGAATAGACAAAGTAGTACAAATGATATTGAAAACATGGTAAAGGAAAGGTTTTAGTCCAGAAAAGCTATGAAAATGCATTATGTTCTTTTTCTGTAGACAAACAATTTGGTGATGGTCGTGTATTTTTTGTCATGAAGGACAAAGATCTTATGTGTCTGCTTCTATCAAAAGGCTAGGACTTTCTTGCCATTCTTAGAGGAATCAGGTACTTCTAATGAAGTTTGCTAGCTTTTCAGTTAATTTATCAGCATGGTTCTTGTTTCAAGGTGTCTACAAAACTGGCAATATTTAGCATATACAGTACCTTGCACTTTCATTTCAACCTCTCTAGAACTGCTAATTAACACACAGGTCAACATTAAGAGTAAAGTAGCCATTATTTGTTTCATTTTCAATGAAGTAAATTAAGGGACAGCAAATGACTTGAAAAAATAATGGCTATTAAAGAACAAGTAAGGAAAGAACTCATCAAACCCATTTACATTAAAAGTGAAATTATCATATCCTTGGCTTGTTGATGTGCATTTCAAGTGACAGCAGTTTTGGCAGTTTTTATATTCAATACCAAAAAGACAAAATGTAGAACTGGTCTCTCTTTTCTTAGTGCAGCCTCCATTCTACTACACATACCTGTTAATTTATTGCTAACTCGTTCTCTCCTTCTTAAATCCCTTTTGCCTCTTTGATCACCTCTGACCTGACTTGTATATTGTGAGAAATTGGGATTGAGGGAGCAGGAAAAAGACATGTTGCTTTTATTTGTCTGTGCAACAACTAAATGGCCTTGAACCTTGGCTGAAGTTCTCAGAAATCACCATTACATAAACTGGTAAATAGAGAACTGTGCACAACAGCAACAGCAATATAATAGTTGTTTTCATCCCCTGGGAAAGAAGAAAGCCTTTAGTGATTCCATATCCTACTTACCTCATTACATATTTTCTACTCCTCTCAGTATAGTTTATATGTATTGAAGACCTTGATTTTTCTGGTGGATTACTGAATATTTCTATGGGGTTATTTCCATACTTGGGGATCCACCAGAATGGAGCATTGCATTATTCTACAACAACTTAAAGAAAAATGGGATTTCACAGGAAAAATAAAAGCTCCATATTCTGACTGCATTAGAGAGGATGGTCAAGGCATAAAGTGTTAATCTCTATGAGGCCAATGAATCAACATCCTCCCTCTGCCAAAACCATCTATAAATCCTTACAAAAACAGTACATAAAGCATTCGTGCCATTTATCTGATGGAGAAGATAAATGTCAGATGTTTCACTATCCCACCCAAAATACAAGCCATTTTTTAGCTAATGGCAGCATCCTAGAGGGGATTTTATTAAAAGATAAACCTTTCTCTCAGCTTTTGAATAGTAAGAATCTTGCTTCAGATAGTTTACCATGGCAAATGAAATGTGACCCGAGCCATCCTGAAACTGAGTGGAATGAAAGAAGTTATGTATTTTTTTACTTGTTTCACTTGTTATCTGAACAATTTCCTGAATAAGCATAGAATGAAGGTTTTATCTTCTATGGAGTTTTATTTAGTCATTTCATCACTATTGTCCTTGGTGAAAACTGGAAAAATCCTGTTTGACATCTGTGTGTTTTTTTCATCTCTTGTTCTCTAATTACCTTTGCAACAAGCTTCTTTTCTGAGTAGCTACAAAACCAAGGGCCCACAGGTTGTAGCCAGCACCCATCAAAGTATATGGAAAGTCTCTTAGTGGGCTTCCATTGGCTCATTCATATACTTGCATACTCCTATAGCTTATGCTATTCTCTCATTTTAAACATTTTTCCACTTGTGTTTTCTAAAAATCCTACTTATCAGTGTAAAAATAAAAGTTGGATAAAAAGGTGATTGGCTTACCCCTAGAGGATGTGTTCCCTTTTGGAGTTTGTTGTAAGGGCTGTATTTAGGTTTAGGTGGCTTCCCAGCAGCTCTGTCTTTGTGCCTTCTACTGCTTATGTGCTGTCAAAATACATTTGGGAGTTAAAAAAAAAAAGAAAGAAAGGCATGATAGTTCCTTAAAAGATCATTTTAGGTTCTGCTTTACACAGGGTTACTGCTCCAATACTAAAGGCTTCTGCTCTCCAGAACAGCATTACTTTGACTAATTCAATAACAAAATGGAATAGTGTTTGTTGCAATTTGAACAATCCTTTGCGCATCACATATTAGGACTGTGATTTTCAACAGTGCTCACTTCAACTCTCTTTCCACTGTAGTTAATGATTTTCTTACCTATTCTAACTTCAACAGGACCTGAATCAGGTCAAAAACAGAAGCCTCTGAAAAATTCCTCCCTATCTCTATAAATCACCCATCAAATTCAATCCACTGCTGACATAAAGTTTTCAAAGAATATTAGATATTAGAGCATCTCCTATTTGGGGAAAAAAATAAGGTCACAAATTTTTTTAAATCTCTAAGTAGTCTGGACATACTTTTAAAATGGTTATATATCAAACTAAGTGACAGTGAAAAAAAACCCACAAAATCCATTATCTTCTTCATAAGACCTATGAGATTTTATAAGCATGTTTCTACACAGACTTTATAGCAGTATTAGAAGTAAGAGACCTTTTTCTGAACTATATTTTTCCTTTGATTTTCACTCTCAACTGAGTTCTCACCAAAAAAGACAAAGAACTGGACTTTTTTTCCCCTGAAACCAGAAGACGGATATTGCTATTGTCCATTACTGAATTTATCTTCATTCTTGTAAAGTTCCTTAAAAAGTATTTAATTTCAAAAGGCATATGGAATTAAACTAAGTGTTTTTTGGAGGGCTTTGATCATCTGAAGAATGACTGAACATAACTTACTGTAATTGCAATTTAGAGGTCATGCTTCTCAGTTAGAGAGAAATATTGATAAAAAAGCCTAGAAATCCTCTCCAACATTTTTAAGCAGGTTATTCGTGTTCTGTGAAAGTACTGGCTACATCCACATTCACATTTTTATCAAGGCAAATATCATGCAGTACACTAAATGACAGGGTTTATTAGCTCATGACAATTCTAGTAGTCTAAAGACAGTTGTAACATTGCAGCTTACAGCTTCTGTAACTCTTTAAGAAACAGGTATGATCAAGAGCTTTTGAGAAAACATATTCCATGCAAGGGAAAATCATTTCCAAAGCAAAACATACAGCATGACAGCCAAGTACAAAGGAGAAAATCTGCAAGCTCCATTTGGACGCAAACTGTTAGACTGACACATGCTGAGTGTGTTGGTACTTTACCACCATGGAAACAAAGAACAGCCAAGGATTCTTACTCTGCAAGCTAGCTGAGTACCTGTTTCAGTTGTGTCTCAGAGTTTACGTGCACATCACATATTTCACAGTGAAATGTTTTGTTCTGAAGGCCTGTGTTTCCTTTATTCACAGGTCCTTTGCCTTTTACGCCTGCCCGGGGAAAGGCTTTTATGGTTCCACTTCCATTCCGAGCTTCCAGCATAGTTTTGTGCTTAGTCCCTGGAGACATCAAAAATGGGAAACAGAAACAACTTTGGCAATTGGGTTGCATTCATTGTTTTATTTTCTTTTTAAAAGAAAATCATATGAGCTTCAGCTTGGTGCCACATGCTGTCCTTGGAATATGACTGTGTTGGTCTGCATCAGATTCCTACCAATGTTCACATCTGATATTTAGTTACTAAATTACATACCTGTAGGTAAAGCACTAGAACAAAGCAGCCACACCAGAAAGTAGTGGCACAATCAGGTATCCTGATGTGAAGTTAAATGGGTGTGACTTTTCTCATTTACTCCTGCTGCTAATAAGACCTGAACTGTAGTTGCAAAAGAAGAGTAATTTAGCTATTAAAGATGTAGTTGGCTTTGATTTGTAGTCCTCCTGAATGGACTGATAAACAGTATGTCTTAGGTAGCTCACAATCAAATCTGTAATTAACTAATTAGTCTCTAAACCAGAAAGAAGCAGAGGTTTCTGGCAGCAACCTATGGATCCTTAATGGCCTGGACAGAAATCAAAACATGTGAGAAACATACATGTGAGAAAACTGCACTTGTCTTTTTTTTTATTAAAATAAAGGTTGAATACAAAACATCATAGTGTTCTGTTGCTGTACCTTTATTCAGACTAAACAATTTCTTACACTGTTGACTTCCATGCAGGTAGTCTGTAATGATAATGGACTACTACTGTGTACAAGAACTACCCTTCTACTGATAATTGCTATATGCATCCACACATGCACTTACAAGCATCCCTGTGTGTGAACAAATACACAGTTTATCAGCATAGGCAGAAAAAAACTTGGAGGGCTGTGTTTAAATACTCAGAATAGTGTTTTGGTTCTCGTCCTGATCAGAATAATGTTTAGAGTCTAACCTTCATGAAGTTAAATAATTTAAAAGGGTATAGCTTTCTGAAGTTGAACTTTCACCAGCTGAAGATCTGGCATACAGCAAACACAGCATTCAAAACTGATTAGGCTTTGTTTGTCATGAATACCAACAAATTATAATTTATTTTTTAATCTGATTCTTTAGACATGCCAAAATTATTTCTTTGGTTTTTATTACATCATAAAACAATTGATCATTTTGCTGACAATATATCATCGCTGTCTCTAAGTTTCAAACGTAAGGTTCTCTGCCTGTCTCTTTTCTCTGTTTATTCTTAATGGAAGGTAACCCCTGACATTCAAAATCAGGAGCTTTCTGTAGAATGGTTATAGGTGTTCACTGCCACCATATTAAATCCCTGGATCTTTTAACCCCACTCACCACACAGCCAATCAATAAGGTGCTTAAAATAGTGACTGTTAATGATGGCCCCTACTACTGGACCTTATGGATGCTACTAGCTCTAATAACGAGAAAAGGTTAAAAATTAAGAAAGATGGAGGTAGGCAATTACCCATTCAACTCCCATGCAGCAGCTGCTATCAGTTGATGAAAACAAAGGGAAAATATACATAATTTTAACAAGTTATTTATTAACTGACAATATGGAGGTAAGAACTCTAACTTCCATCATTGAACTCTGACTGACTGATGCTCTCTCTTTCAGCCTTAATTTGTTAGATTTCAAACAAAGCTAATGGCATTCATACTCAGTTTGCTAGCTGGCACAAGCAAAACTATGCAAACTCTGAACACCAAAGGTAATGAAGCAGAGCTGTCATTTAGCTCTATAAGGTTTCAAAGCTGCAAAAGCTATAATGTAAGAAAATGTGCAACTTGCATGCAATAAAATTCCTTTCTTCCCCCATTATGAAAGCCTCTTTGCCCGTCATTTTTAGCCTTTAATAGTTAATGAATTCCATATAATTGCCAGTTTTTTGCCACCTCTTTGTCCCCTGCTGCAAGAGATCTAATCTATTCAAGGGAAGATAATTGCAGCACTCTTGAGACAGAAGGAAAAAAAAGGAAGCAAGCAAGCACTGCTTCATCTCACCACTGTTGTGCGCCTCCAGCTGTGAGGCAGAGTTGACAGCGACTTTGCATAGTGAACAGTACAGCAGTCTTTTTGCTTTTTCTTCTTCAGTCTCAACGGAAGGGCATGTGGTGCTGCTAGTGGCTGTCGTGGGGATTTTCTCCACTTTAGAGGTGATCTCAGTTGTCATAACACTCCTCTTCTGGATTTCCACGGTTGTTGTCGTTGATATTGCTGGTGTCCCTGTGGTAGCATCTGTGGGCAAAGAGAGGAGATGGAAGGAAATAAAACCAAAAAAGAAATAACCTTGTGACCTTTGGAGTTTGTCTGTTTGCATCCCAATGCTGTGATCACACAGAGAGGTAAATTGTGTTGGTGATGGTTTGACTAATGGTAATGAACTAAATCTGACCTTATTCTTTGTACTTCATGTGGTTACAAAATACAGTACTTCCATGTATTGAAATGCCATGTGTTGTCTCCTGCATTCTGCTAACATAGAATTCATAAACTGAAAAGAAAGGTCATTAAGACTGTACTGTACAACTGAAAAGAGGTTGTGTAAATGACCAATACAATAGGCAGTTAAGTTTGTACACAGCACTTCAGATGCATAAACTGCCACAGTACCACATAATACGCTGATTGAGTATCCAAGTAATATCGTGTACTAACAAAACTAAAATGAAAATAATTGTCTGTTCTTTATATCTGGTAAAAAAAAAGTTTAATATACTTCACTTGACCTTATGCAAAATTAGCATTAAAAGAATGAAGATTTTCTACCTTGTTTTTTTGCATATGCATATACAATTAATACATCATATATATTACTATCCATTATTACACAATAATGATACGTACTAGTAACAGTAATTAAGTATACAACATTCCATATCTGAAACCTACACAAACACTAACAAGATTTCCATTCTACACATCAGTGGTATTTTTTGAAAAATGTAAGATGATATATATCTAAACCTGTTTGGAAATCTAGTGCTTTCACTAAAGAACTTGTGTTTTTTCTGTGGTTCTCACATGGAAAAGAGCAAAAATGCACAATGATATTGTAGTTTGAATAATATATACATGATATTTGAACATGGCAGTATCATGTAGTAGTTAAGCACTTAGCATGGTAAAGGATAGTAACATCCAGCCCTGAGGCAGTGAGGAAGATGGCAGGTAAGGGACGTGAGAAAGAGCGAATGGACAGGAGCTGTTCTGCCTCAGCAGTGTTGTATTTTATCATATTAATCCTACTGTGTAATAACTTTCCCCATAAGAAAGCTTAATTGCTTTACTGAAATATTCCTGGATTTGGGTACTTTCTAGCACAGCTCATTTTGTTTTAATACATCCCTTGGTGTTTGTGATGCTCTACCTATACTATGCTTTATTTATCGCCACAAATTAAAATAGGCAAAATAACAATTCTTTCACTTATAGATCTCAGTATGTGCTCTGATGCAGGAGGGACACAACTAACTGATGCCAGAGAGGTGTGTTGAAGACTAATACTGTTCAACAACTTCATTAATGGAGAACATGCCTAATAACTTAGCAAACAATAGCAAACTGGAAGAGAGTGCAATCACACAGAGAAACATGATTCAAAACAATTTTAATACATTGGAGAAACAGTCTAGAAAATTAGATGCTTTTCAGTAAAGCAAATCCACACTCAATAGGATTAATCTGTTCTATTAAAACAGGATGATGAACAACAGCCCCAGTACTGCTTTTTCATGAGGTATTATTGTTTGTTTAATTTTGATTTTCTTTATTTGCTTGTTTTTCAGAAAAATCTTTCAGTAGTTGACAACAAGATGAACACAGATCTCTTATAGCACTGTGTTATTAAACAGGTCCCCACCATATTGAAAGTGCAAAGCAAAAGATTTATGAGGTACTTTTATTGCCTCTAATCGGCTGTGGAGACTGTGTCCAGCCTGAGGACAGTAATGTAAAAAAATAACAATTGCTTTGTTGTTAATCCAGCAGCAATACAAATGCAAAACAACGAGAGAGGTGTTGAGATGGAGGAAGACAAAAAAAATTGGAGGTTTAGAAAACACAGACTTTGAGTACGGAAGATGAAGGGTAAACAGTGACTACATTTTTAACATCTATAGATCTCTTCTAGTAGAACAAGGACTATGGGATTACATCAAGAGAGACATAGATTAGACATCAGGAAATTCTTATGAAGCCTACACAGATTTGGAAATATTTCCTACTGAAGAAATTGAAGCTGGTTGAAGGAAGCTACACAAGTATGATTAGCTTTCAGTTAGTGGGAATAGGACCATTCAATCTCTATTAATTTCTATACATGATGTATTTTGTAATGCTGCTACATATTCTCCCAGGGGCTTTTTAAACATTATTATTCATAAACCCAGGAAAGCAGAGTTTGTCATGTGAATATTCTATGTACTGCCAGACATTAAAGCATATAGCAAAAATATGGTCCCACTCAAGGTCAAAGCACAGTTTGTTTTTTTTCCTGAAAGTGAGATACTGGTGTAGAAGGAACCAATTAACACGAGAAGATGCAAGATGTTACTTTGCTGTGTATTCTCTTCTCATTTATTTATTTTTTTAAAGACCAATGACAATGTTTCAAAAGAAAAATAATATTTTGAAATATTAATCCTTATGTTGGGAAACTGATGAGCAAATGAAGCCTTTGTAGATCTGTCCACAAAATTGTAGAGTTAACTAGCTATTCCTTTCCCATCTCAGAGAATTCCTGTTTTCCTTCAGGTAAAAATTGCTGCAGTGCAATTATTTTCCTCAAAAGCCCAATCCTAGCAGTACAGGACACTGCTTTAAAGCTTTGGTTTCTCCATCCTGGAGATGGAGAACCTACTACCTACAGTAGAGATGTACAACAATCACCATTACTGGCTTTGCAGTGCAAGGGTCAGTATTAAGCCCAAAGAAAAATATAGATTATAGTTTCTTTATTTTCCTTAGGAAAACCTGAGGCAATGAATGAAACAAACCAAACAAACAAATCCCCCCTTCCCCCCCCAAAACCCCAACAAACTTAAATAACAGCATATTTTGTTCTACTTCAAGTATCTGACATCCTCTATCTATGTTGGTCTAATATTTCGCTACACACTTATTTGAAAGTGAAAAGAAAATACAATTAATTATGCTAGCTCTTTTGAGGGTATTTTGAGATGCATCCATGAAAGCAGCATAGTATATAAAAATTAAACTTAAAATGCTAAATGTCATTAGCATATTCTTCATCTAAAAATATATCATCAAAGTTCAGTGCATATATTCTGCATTTTCAAAAGGTGCCTTATATTAATACATTTTATATTCCACTAATGCAAATACACTAATGATATCAAAACATATACCAGAAAGCCATCCAAGTTCACCATGTAAAAGTCACGACACATGTAAAGATGCAAAGCTATTCCTCTTCATATAAAGTTTAGAGTTTTCAGTAGGAATTAAAGGGAAAGCATTCTAAAAGTTGTCGAGTAGGCTTACAAAAATGGAATTAAAATTCTCTTCTCACCAGAACTTCTAGCCTAACCAGCATGTGTCCCTTTGCATATATTTCAGTGTTGCTGCTGTACAGTGCCCTAAATACAGGGTACAGCATTAAAGGTGTGAGGCATTATAAACCCCACAATACCAAAAAGGAATAGGAAGGCATTGGAATTGATGCCTTGTAGACTGAATCAGCATTTCTTAACATTATATTATGACAGTGCTTTAAGAATAATTTCAATAATAAATGATCTAAAATTGAACTGGAAATTCAGTCACAGTCAAATGGAAGATTTGTTTCTGGTGACACAGGCTTGCAGCACTGTGCTATTTTCATACCAGTGGCCTGCAGCAAATATTCATTATTGCAACTGTCACTGCTTGGCTTTCATATAAAAGTTGATTGCTAATATTGTATGGAACTGGACTCTAGCAGCAAAAAAGGGAACACTTCAAAATTCACAAGAGTCCATTTGTGTTTCTGGTCTTAATATAGCAACAGAATAAAAACTAAAAATACAAAAATATTACATTAAAATCTAATCTTGGTCACTGGCAAAATCAAAGATCTATTTTAATAAGAAGAGAAAGCCAGATGAAAAATATTCTGTGAGAACTGACTCCTTTGAGTACTATAGATACCACGGTTCAAGTGGAAAACTGCATGTGTGATTAAGGTTCTTCTCAGTAAGTAGGAATAATTTTGCATCCCAGCTACAAGACTCATGAATTTTCTTTAGTCTGAAGAAACAGAAAATTACAACTCATGATTTTCCTGAGTATGTGAAAGTCTCACTCATCAGTTCCTGCTACTAAGCATAAGAATTTCTTATCCTGAAACTATAAATAGATCCACAGAGAGAAATGTGCTCTGACTTCAAACAAATCACGACTGTTTATGAATGCATTTTTTTCTTCCGCAATCTCAAGTGGCATGCATTTAAAAATATCTGATTTAGCACATACCCATGCATTCTGGTCTCCTTTAAATCAAACTTTGCCTTTGACATAAAAGGATTGAGCATTTCAGCCATAATGCTGTCCAGGGAGAAAAAAAAACCCAACCAAATAAAGCCGAACAAACTCCCTGCTGCAGAAGCTAGAAAGCACATTCTTTCTCATGACAAACAGAACTTGATATGAAATATTTCACTATATAAGACCTCTTAGTATTAGCAAAATCATTGTCAGCTGGCTAGCTTATAGCAAACCTGCATCAAGCAACAGAATGTTCCAATATGGATGCTTGATACTGGCATGTTCAAAAGAGAACCAGCAAATTATTTTCCTGTCTACTAAGAACTCGGTCCTCAGTTTCTTCAGGCTCCTTTAAGAATCCCATTTTCCACGACTTCTGTGGTCATTACATTTGAAGATAAGACAATTTCTTTCAAATCTATATATATACCAGTGGAGTATACCAAAACCAAAGTATCACCCCTAAAATAACTGCAACTGACTTTTTTTGTGCTTGGCTGAGTTCCTGTACTTGTATGCTGAAATGTAAGTATGTGTGCTAGCACACTGGCTGGCTCTGGTACATAAACAAAACACTTTGAGGAACTTTGACTCAAATGTATCAACTTCTTCTCCTTTATATGTGCAGAACTTGCATATTTTGTGGTTGGTGGATATTTGGCCCACTACAGTATTGTACAGAAAATTCTTTTGGTATCATATTATGAAAAATCCAGTCATTAGTCTTAGTTTTGCATTCAAAAACCTGGAAT